TGACAGCTGTTGACACTTGACAGCTGCTGACACTTGCCAGCTGCTGACACTTGACAGCTGCTGACACTTGACAGCTGGTGACACTTGACAGCTGGTGACACTTGACAGCTGTTGACACTTGACAGCTGGTGACACTTGACAGCTGGTGACACGTGACAGCTGTTGACACTTGACAGCTGGTGACACTTGACAGCTGTTNAATTTATGGAGTTGTGACAGCGTGTACAGTATGTTTCTTGCACACGCGTGGATTTGATTTCTGCGTCGTATGTAATGTGAATTTTATAAAAGTAAATTGTTTTATATTGATCTGATTTTAATTCAACTTTCGTTCAGTTATAGGAAATTTATTATATTCGTACAGTAAAGTGTAAAAACTGCTAATATTCAGCAATCGATTTATGCAGATTCGACAACGATTAACATCTGTCTCTTATACACATCTAGATGTGTATAAGAGACAGGAGGAAGGGGGGGGGATTTTTTTAGCGATTTTTCACACTCGGCCAGACCTTCCCCGAATACGGGGGCGACCTTAATACGTACCGCTCAACGGCCGCCAGGATAAGGACTAGGCTCTGGTAGCCGTCTGATTCGGGGACAGGAATGTAGACCGAAACGCGGACATAGGGATGCTGGTGGACTATGCTCCCCGAGTCCTAGGCGGTACTTAATCCAGAGCCGCCCTCGTCTCTAGATTTTGTTAGGGCAAGTGACTGCAGCCTCTCCATGCCGTGAGGGCACGTCGCGATCAAGATACGGAAATTACTGCGCCACGTCTTATTGATGATCTCGGTCACAATATTCATGGAAATGTCGTTTATTTCGTTGAAGCCATCGACTACGGAAAGACGTTTAGGCGTAGTAAGGCTGCAAGGACAATCTCTGGACCATTTAACTCATTGCACAGATCGTCGACCCTGTCAAAATTTTCGTGCCGATTAAGGTCGTTTTAGAGGAACTATATTCGGCTTAGGGGTGAATCAGGAGCAAAAGATTTTGGCTGCGGTTGAAATTTTCAACTTTGGGCATGTCGACACGAGCATGTTATTTAAGCTGCTCCTGTTCATATGCTTAAGGTTTTAATTTCTATAAATCAACGCGTCAACTGGATTAAGAGTAGTCGGAACTCGAAAGCTTACCATTGCCAAGGATGCATGCTAGCCTACCTAACCGACTAACAACACTCGACACTAATGGCCAGTGAGTGGGCCAGCTGAACAAGATGGAACAGGTTGCAGAGCGTATACCGATTAGTCGCAAGTAAGTTAGTTGCTTTTCTTCCGTTCTATCTACTCTATTTCGTTGTATCATCAGGCTTCATTATGGAGTTACATTCAAGTATAAGGATGAATTATTTTGTTATTTCTGAAGAACTACAAATTATACGAAGATAGATTCAGAAAATTTCCATCGAGCAATATTGAATTGGTATTAGACGTTAGAATTTAGAAATGCTTCTATTCTTCATTTTTCAGCGGTTGCAAGCAGTATTTTCAGACCCCGGTAAAATTTTTTGCTAGACGAATGGTTTCTTCAACCAAAGAACTGTCCAGCTTTGGGCATAGGTATGTCTGCATCATTGCATGCTTGAGCTTATTGCTCAAGTAGAAGATAGCTTATGAACTATTTACTTTACAAGGAGCCTCTCTGTGAGCAACATATTTAATTTGAGGATTTGCATAACTATCGTTTATTCTGCTACGGTAACCGGAACCTAATGCGGACATAGAGCTTCTAATTTACCTGGCCATAAGAACTTGGGGCGTCCGTGTGCCAGCGGCTGACAGGTCTTCGAATTTCGAAAGGGGAAGTGCTGAGGGAAAGTGCGTGAGGCATGCGTGTTGTATCTGCTATTCGGGACCTGAACTGCTTGAGGCATGCGTGTTGCATCCACGATAGGAGACTGGAACTTACGTGCGGCATGAGTGCTGTACCCACGATACGAGACTGGAATTTGCTTACGGAGCCCATAGCTGCGCATCTAGAATGATTGACACACACGCGGCACTGATAAGCACCAACACTGCCAGCTGGGATGGGCGTTATAAAATGCAATGTAAATTATTTGCTCCTAAAAAAATCAGGTGTTTAAATTATTAACGAATTGTGCGGAGCGTCGGTGACAAAAATTGATAAATTTAACTGAGCTTATTTGGTATGTAAAATACGCGTATAGAGTAATACAGCCAATTAATGTGTCATGCAGCCTATATGTATGTGCGCGCAGAGGCAGTTTCGACTTGTAAAAATGTTCATTTTTCATAATCGGTACAAAAATTATTTTTAAAAAATATTTTGTTGGGGAAATTCTTCAACCAGCCTTCTTGGAGCTTACTACGAAGAAGCAGAGCGGGCTCGTCTTAAGGCAGACCCGCGGCTCTCTGCTATAATTGCGTAAACTGTGTACTTGAACGGTCACCCGAATTTCCACTGTACCTAGTTTTGTGCCACATTTCCTAAATATTTACTTACGGTCTTTATTTGTTGTGCACAACCTTAGCCTATTTATTCCTTTAATTTATGGTGCATGTTTTTGTCACCTCATTTCGAACGCTTTGGCTAGCCCGTCAACCTTGGAGTCTGTTAGCCCTTATACATTCATTTGCTTACACTATAACCTTTGCTGACCAGCACTTTAAAATTCTGATTAGACCTCGGCAGCATTCGACTTTGATTGACGGGTATTGTTGAGTCTCTTACTTAACTTTAACTATTAAAATTTAACCTATAAAAGCCAAAGTGTTCATGTTAGTTGTGGTGCGTTCATACGTGGAAAGAAAGCGACCTATTTAACTTATATATAGCTCATAGTTACCAACATCGTCTAAATTAATACTGCATTTAAACTATCGTCAAAGCTTGCATATTTAAGTGGGCACGGCTTCTCTGAAAGCACAGTTTGTGCACTTATTTTTGATTAAATAAGGTGAGCTTTGATCTGGAATTAATTCAAATACTGAAACTCTGAGATTTTTATAGCTTATTACTTGTAGCGCCGGAGTTTTAATTCAACGTATCTTTTCATTCAGTATGTCATCCTCTGAACTTCAAGTTACGACCACCCTAAAGCCGACAGGACGCTATTTTTTCTTGAACTGGATTACCTCGTGAAGAAAACTACTTCCTGTACAGCTGAAGATAAATGATTAAATCGGTTCAACTCCTTTCATTGTTTTCACTTGTTTGAACCTTACTTAATTATCTGTGAAATAACTTTTAGATTAGGATTAAAATCTGCGTAGGGAGAAATTTCCCTACAAAATACTTATTTAATCAAAAATAATTGTGATTTAATCTGACTAATTGAAATTCTTAAGCTGACGCTGCGTGCTTTCGTCGCGGTTAACACTGAACTAATAAAATTGTCTTGTCTGTATTAACATTGCCTCTCTTAGCATAACCAATGGCGTCTGAGTCCCCTACTTTCAAGAGGGGCATTTGCCGGCGTAAGATTACGCTGGCGATGCAGGCTGCTGAGGGTGCGCAGACGCTGGTGGAGGCTCGCGCGCACTGTGACTTGGCTCGATCTCACCTGACAGCGGTAAGAGAGTGGGATGAAAGAGTTTTGTCAGATTTAATTACTAAGAAGGCTTCTGAGGATGCTGTTAACGAAGAAGTCGATAACCAAACTGCATACGAGCTAAAAGTGAATTCGAATCTTTGTACTATATTTGCTAAATTTGAAGATGTTGGCGTCAAGGCTAAATTTGAGGAGAAAAGAGCAGAGTTAAAATTACCCAATCTCTATTGTCCTACCTTCTCTGGAGAAGGTACAACTAACTTGGATTACTCTTCATTTCATACCCATTTCCAAAATGTTATTGGAAATAGAGAATCTCTTTCTCCTGCCATTAAATTTGCGTACTTGAAAACGTATCTCAAGGGCTACGCGCTTAAAGTAGTGTCTCACCTTAGCGTGAATGATGCCAACTATAAACTTGCATTGGAATTGCTAGAGCATGAATTCTTGAATAAATCTGCTCTGATTGACGAACTGTTTGCCAAACTTCTGAGTCTGAACCCTAAGTTTGACTCAAATTTTACATCTACCAAAACTTATCTGAATGATGTTCGCTGTATCCTGGCTGATCTCAAATCCTACGGGAAAGATCTTATGGCAGACGAAGCATGTCTGCCTTTGTTAGCCACATTGTGTTCTCGAAATTGCCTGTTGTCTTCAGGCAAGAAATGATCAGAAAACTAGCATGCAGTTATCCTCAGTTACCAATGATTCTAGATTTTTATGTGGAAGTCATTCATAATATCACTTTGCGTGGTAGTAAAGGCTCTGACAGTAGAATTGCCGTAGCAAATGCTCATTCTGTCAATAAATCCTTGAAGTTAAATTCTAACTTTGAACCTGCTGCATCGCAGCAGGTATTTCAAAAAGCCGCTTCCTCTAGTTTCGAAAAGAAGCCCTGTAAACTATGCTCAAGCACTGCACATTCCATGTTGAATTGTTTGAAATACAGAACTCATGATAGCCGAATAGAGCGATGCAAGGAGTTGAAACTGTGCTTCAAATGCACTAGTTCGAAGCATAGTTCTAGAGATTGCAAATCTAAGCTTGACTTTAAATGTAAATTTTGTCAGAAAGACGATCACATTTCAGCCATGTGTTCTCGTATTCAACTTAACAATCTACAGGCCAATTATTGTCTCAATTCTGTAGCCAGCTTCACTTCTCCCTTTCTTTTGCCTACTGTGTCGGTTAATGTGTGTCGTGGGAAGAAAGTCACTCCAGTGAGATTTCTACTGGATTCTGGATCTCAAAGATCAAACGTTTCAAGTGCTGTTCTGGATAGAATCGACTTTCCTGGTGACTTGGTCCACTCCAGTTATGTCGTAAATTCATTTCTTGATAAGGGAAAAAGGAGTTTGGCAGAGGTTAGTTTGGCTTTGGATTTAAATAAGAATGGGAGCTCGTTGCAAATACCCATGTTGGTTGACTCCAAGTTTGAGATGGAGTACGAGATTACCTCTTTGAGCANCAAATACGAACTTGCCGATTCCGCTTTGACTCGAGATTCCGACTCTGTTAAACTGGAAGGAATTCTTGGGATCGACCTCATTCAATTTATTGATCTTAAAATCGTTGACTGTCTTAAGGGTAAAGCTTACGATTTCTTTGGTAAAATCATTCCTATCGGAAATATCGAACATTTTCTTTCAAGGGATGAGGTCGTTCATATGTATCAGACTGTAAATCAACTGAACGAGCGTCACTCTTGCATTAACTTCGTGCTAGATCCTCAAATTTGCCATCCTGATCCTTTGAGTAGCATTTTGGACGATCGCTCTGTTGAGGGTCACATTGAGAAATTATTTGACTTGGAAACCATAGGGATTAAAGAAGATGATCCAGCGTCTAATTCTGATCAAATTCAAATTGAGGAATTTTCTAATTCTATTGAAAAGGTTGATGGACAGTACCAGGTTTCACTTCCTTGGGATAAAGATAAGTTAGCTTTAGTTAATGATGGGTTTGCCGTTTCAAGGGCTGTTGTAGAAAGGGTCATTAAAAATTTAGATTCTAAAGGTAAACTTGCAGATTATCACGATGTCTTCCAACAGCAGTTGAGAGATGGTATTATTGAAGAGATTCCTTTGCACAGTTCAGACGAAAGCGAGCGCGTGTACATCCCGCACCGTGCCGTTATAAGAGAAGACCCCAATGTTACGACGAAAATTAGACCAGTTCTTAACTGTAGTTTGAAGGTAGGGAAGAACCCTTCCTTGAATGAGGCGGCTTTTCCTGGAGTGGACCTAATGAATGACCTTCTTGGCATATTGATTAAAGTTCGATGCGACAATTACTTGGTGATGTCGGATGTCAAGAAGGCATTCTTACAAATCAAGCTTGCTTCTGTAAAAGACCGAAATAAATTTTGCATTCTGTGGAAGGTAGACGGTAGACTGGTCGTCTATCGTTATAAAACTATTGTTTTTGGCTTCGTATCGAGCCCTTTCATCTTGAATTATCTTGTTAAACATCATGTAAAGAATTACCCTCAGGACTTGTGTTCTCAATTTCTGTCCGAAACCATTTACGTAGATAACCTGTTCATGACGGGGAATTCCCCCGAGCAGGTCTTGATTCTGTACAAGCAGGCTTATGAGCGGATGCTGGAGGCTGGGTTTGACTTGGGTTCGTGGAGCTCGAACTGCGAGGAGCTGGTGCTTCAGTGCCAGCGAGATGGGCGTGCCGCTGACCATGGTACTTCGCACGAGAAGCTCCTTGGCTACCACTACCTCCCCCGCAAAGATAAGTTGACAGTTGTGGTAGACCATAATCTAAATTGCTCTGCTGTCGACACTAAACGTTCAGTACTATCTCGCATCGCAAAGGTGTTTGATCCCTTAGGATTTGCGGGACCGATCACAGTGAAATGTAAACTTCTCCTTCGGGAGCTCTGGAAATCAAAGATAAATTGGGATGATGAAATCCCGGATCACTTAAAACCTTCATGGGAGAAATTAAACTCTGATCTCGCTGAATTAGACAAATTTGAGTTTCACCGAAAAGCCTTCGGAAGCGAAGAGGAAGTATCCTTAGTGGTATTCACAGATGCCTCTCAGCAGCTGTACGGCTTCACCGTGTATGCTGTTTATCAGACGGGAGGCGAAATTAAATCCACTCTGCTGTTTGCCAAAAGTAAAGTTGCTCCTTTAAATAAGAAAAGCTTACCCACTTTAGAATTGCTTGGCGTTTATCTCGCTCTTAAATGTCTACCTCAACTCGTAACTGCCTTAGGGCGCTCTACTATTAAAAACGTAACCTTTGGGATAGATTCTCAGATCGTTATCTCATGGATCCTGAACGGTTTCATTAAAAGTAAGAATGTGTTCGCCAGCAACCGCGTGAAAGATATCACTTCATTCATTGCTGCTCTTAAAGCAAAGTTTTCTTTGGATCTTAATTTTCGCTTCATTCCATCAGCGTTAAACCCTGCCGACCTGTTGACTAGAGGTCTTACGGTTAAAGAACTTTCAACTAAATTTCAATTTTGGCACTCGGGTCCCGACTTTCTGCTAGAAAACTATCCTCCCATTTGGCCGGAAAGTAATTTGGAATGCTTGTCTGCTGAAAATCAAAATCTAGTTTCCTGTAGCGCCTTTAATGAAACTGCCATTTTGCCTGTATTAAATGTTACCGATTTATCCTCGCTACATAAATTGTTCCGCGTCACGGCTTACTTATTCCGCTTCTTGTCTCTTACCAGAAAATTAAACTGGACCTTTACTGATTGCGTTCAACGGGCGCGGTTGTATTGGCTCAGGCGAACTCAAAGCGAGACGTACGCGAATGAAATTAAATACCTGTCTACTCCACCAGCTTGTTCAGATAAGGTCCCTGATCTTGTCAAAAATCTCAACCTGTTCTTTGACGAAAGTGGATTGCTAAGAGCTGGTGGGCGTTTGAACAAATGCGATTCTTTAGATTTTTCTGTTAGAAATCCCATCTTGCTCCCTAAAATTAGTCCCTTGACCAATTTGATCATTTCTGACTCCCATGAAAAGTGTATGCATTTGGGAACAAATTCAACTCTGGCTGCTGTCCGCAACGAAGGATTTTGGATACCCCGGGGCAGAACCGTCGTTAAGCAAGTCAATAAATCTTGCACTATTTGCAAAAAGTTTAACAGCATTCCATTTAAATATCCGAAGCGTACGGACTTCATTGGTGCGAACGTGAATTTTGTCAGACCGTTCATGAACGTCGGCATAGATTATACGGGGCATTTCAATGTTAAGCTTGGTAAAGATCATGTTAAAATGTACATTTTACTGTTTACGTGTCTAAATGTCCGTGCAGTGCACCTTGAACTTGTTAAATCCATGTCATCAACAGACTTCCTCATGGCGTTCATTAGGTTCTCTAATCGCTACGGATTACCTAATGTTATTTTCAGCGACAACGCCCCTACTTTCATTCAAGCTGCTCAGTTCCTGAAAGAATCCAGTTCAGACTGTGAATATACCGCTTACTTATCACGTAACAATATTAAACATGTCAGGATTCCTCTTTACGCTGCCTGGTGGGGCAGCAGTTGGGAGCGGTTAATCCGCGTAGTTAAAACTTGCTTGTACAAATCTGTCGGACGTGGCAGCCTTGATTATTTTTCTTTTCTTACCATTTTATCTGATGTTCAAAATTCAATTAATTCTAGACCGCTTACTTATCAGGATCCAGATGATCTCACGTTGCCAATTTCCCCAAATTCCTTTGTAAAGTTAGGGGCCAATTCAAGTTTGGTGTTCGGGGATACGTCTGGACCTCAGGTTCCTGCTAGAGAGGAGCTTGTTGAATCTCTAGAAAGAAGAGACTCAATACTGCAGAAGTACCGAGATCTTTGGTATTCAGACTACCTACTTTCCTTGCGTGAAAACAGTAGGGACATTCACCAAAGAGATTGGCATGATCAAATTAAAGCTAACGATATCGTATTAATTTCTTCTCCTACAAAACCTAGGCCACTTTGGCAGCTGGGTAGGGTTGTTGAACTCTTTCGTGGTAATGATGGCATAACACGAAGTGTTGAGGTCATCAGGCCTGATCGTACTAGAGGCACCTATGCCATTTCTCATTTGTATCCTATGGAATTAACTGCATTGTCTGTGCCTTCCGAACCCTCTAATGACGCCGCCTCTCCTACAGATACTGGCGTACGGCGCGTTCGCAGGGCGGCGGCGCAGAGATGCTTGGAAAAACTTAAGAACTGCGATTAAAATCGCAACTCTCGTGCCCGGGAATGTGTTGGGAAAAATATCCCAACCAGATTTCTTCTTGACTATAGATGAAGAACAAGAACTTTCTTGTTTATATAAACGTAGCCGTTTGCTAGCTTAAAACTACTGTCCCAGAGCTCGTGACGAGAAGTTCTAAAAAAAAGAGTTCGAAACGAGAACTCGTGAAGTGCGGTCTCTAAAGTTCCTTAAACTACCTTAACTGTGTCGCCATAGTTTCCTGGATTATTTGCTGTTAAACTACTTATGATTTGTTGTGCACAACCCTTGCTTAATTAATTTATGATTTGGGGTGCATGCTTTTGTCACTTCTTTTATCTGGATGCAAGGACGCGAAAAAGGGACTGGCTTCTTTGAGAGAATTTAAATAAATCTACTTAAATACTTAAATTTGTCTTGGTCCTTTGAAGTGTTCTAAATTAATAAAATTCTAGAAGAGGATTTCCTCCTGCGCTGGGAAAATTCCCAACATCATAACAAATGAAGACAGGATTGAAATTAATTACGGACGTTTGGTTTAAGTAATATAAAAAATTAGCTTACTAGTTCATCGAGAATACAATATACCGGTTAAACTTTAAATAACAATTTCATTCTGCTATTAGAAACTCATATCAAATCACAACGTGATCTGATTATTCTCGAGCGAAGCAAATTATCAATCGATGTTGAAATTTACAAGGAATTAATAATTCAAGAAAGAATTACCTAGCAAGAAAAAGACGGAAGAACTCTGCAGTAAGATTGCTAGCGATTGCTCAGTCCAGAAGTTAGGCGAAGGCCGAACAAAGTTACAATCGATCCAAGTGGCCGCGCATGAGTTCAACATCAAGATTCAGATTCTTTAACTTAATTCCCTAAGCATAAGTTACCAGCGCAGCTTAGTTACGCCGCTAATGAATCGTTAAGTCCATGACTGCTAAGACAGCCAAGTCTTAAAACACAAACCTCAAAAAGATCGCAATGTCGGAACGTTCCGTAAAAACCTAATAAAAATAAATGATGAAAGTTAGAAACACGCAGTTCATAGAATCTCAACACATTGTTCATCATACATGTGAATGAATTTAAAGATGATAGACCGAACAATTTTCAATTGATCATCCAAAAAACGGTATTTGTAAAAACTGTATCTAATACTGTATCTAATAAAAATAAATGATGAAAGTTAGAAACACGCAGTTTATAGAATTGTTCATCATACATGCGAATGAATTTGAAGAGGATAGACAGAAAAGTTTTCATTTCATCACCCAAAAATGGTATTTTTTCTTGGTCGAAGGTTTGAAAGAAAATTTTCCCGCTCGACTGTAAATCTTTCGGAACATACGAGACCGTTGGCAAGACAACACGTAGCAATTATCGAGACAATTGGCGGCAGCGACGGGTAATTTTTGTGGCACTCACTTGCCGAGTTTCTGTTCATGGGGGGAACTGTTCTAATTGTTCATCGGCGCACGCGGTGGAGAACAAATTACCTAATCACCAAATGGACTTGTCTTAAACGGCCAACAATTGAGCTCCAAAGAAGACTTATGACTAATTTATGAGGCCTTGCAGCCGCAGGTAATGAAGTGGTCCGCAGGCAAGCTTAACGCCTCGCAAGGAGAAAGCTTAACGACTCCATTAGTGATTAACGCGCCAGATTACCTCTAACGGAGAAAATTAAAGACGTGGAATAAAAGCATTGAAACATAATTTAAGCATTAAACACACCTTTCAAATGCAATGATTGTTTATTATCAACATATTTTACATAGCAATTAATATTAATAAACGTAATTCTTGAAAACTATAATATTCTATTGAAGGTTTTAAAATGTGCACAAATTATTCGTGATAAAGTAAACAATGTGAAAATAAATTCCAAAACATCAAGTAAAAATGCTGGTAGAACAATAACGAGCATTAGCCTTGATGTATTGATACAAATCCCAGCAGCGCAATCGTCGCCACTCCCTAAGAACCATTAGCAGCCACGGTCGAACGGCCCACACTACTCTACGGAGAACATCCATAACATTTTAATTGCTTTCCTGTCCAGCTGAAGAGGTGTGAAAACATTAATTCTCCTCGCAAGAAGAATGAAACGGCGGAGAGAAATTTTCATGCCTAATCCGATTTCGAAAAAAAAATCCATCATTTCTTTGGAAATAAACAGAATAATATGAAAAAATTGCAATAAATCTATTTGTTAGGATGAAGGTTTTGAAGTTTGAACTTCAACCAGATTTCGCCATAGCATAGAAGGGAAAAGAAGGATAAAAAACAACGGTTACATTGACTAAAATCTGGGTAACACAAAGAAACAAAACAACACAAAATTTTCGTTGCAGCAAGCAGCAATTTTTGTGGTTTAACCGACGCTCACGGGCAAGCCACCTTAACATCGTTATCCATTCAAAATCAGAAGCAGCGTGGAAAAAAACTCCCTCGCATTTTTTGAGTACCGAAAAAGTGGCGAACATCAGCCGGGAGCTAAATTCTATCGATCTGTTCAACAAGGAGCACCGCGACAAGTTACCTTCGACCATACGTCTTAGTGGCTCGCGTACGACATAGTTTATTTATAGGCACGTGCATTCACGTTTTAAGTCAAAAAGACTTATGTAAGAAATTGTTTATTTGTAGACCCAAATATTTCTACGTTGAAGTGGCTAAGGCATAGTTTATTTGTAGGCACGCCATTGTGATTCATCTGTATGTCGTTGAAGTGGCTTGAGTAAGTGGCTTATGATCGCACTAACGAGAAGGTTTGAAGATAATTCTTAAAATTGCCTAAAATAGCATGAGGATTGGTGGCAAATAAATTGTTACGTAACGACACCGAAAAAAATCTGGACTTGAACCAAAAAAAATCTTGACATCATTGTAATCAAACATTTTCACTTTGTATCAAACATTCTATGTTCGATCTTGTTTTTCAGAATGTTCCGTCTTATTTGCATTTACCAGTGCCAAAATGTACTGCTGCCAATGGAGCACTACGTTTAATTTCGATCGACTAGTGTATAAATGCATCCATTCCATTTGACATTGATCTATGACTTAATTATTTCAGCCTCAGCAGAAGAAATGCCCCCAAATTCAGATGAATTATCCCTCAACAGGAAGATAAATGGGCCGGGGCGACGAGAATCTGTATATATAAATACAATCACCACTATTTTGATGATGCAACGTTCATATCACTTACAATAAATTATTTCTCACTTCAATGGATTATCGGCGCAATAGATTCATGACACTGCCTATTGCCTGTCGTCATTCCTGACTTTGTATCGCGTAAAGATGGCGACTTTGCTGGCAGGTGTTTGGTTCTCACGAGGGAATTCCAAGACAGAGCCAGGCTCAACCCCTCTGACTGAACCTATAGCAAATAAAGCTTCACCATCTAAATAGTTCACAAATACTTCGAGATTTAAATATAAATTGAAAGAGTATCAATACTACTATGAAACTGTTGGTTTAATCGTTGCATCGTTTGACGGAATATATGCGACTTTCCTAAAAGCTTTTGCTTTCATCTCAATGCAAATTACAATTTGAATAATATTAATTCACTATGTTTACCCGTTCATAGATACTACTAATTTTTCTTATCAGCGCATCAGCACGCTACACTATTTACGGATATTATTCTGCATCACAATAAAAAAAACATTTTCTATACTAAATAAATCGATGTTAATCGTTGAACTTTGTTTCAGGACCTTTATATACACAAAGATTTAAGGAAGTATACAAGTATACGTATACGAGGAATTCTACGAACAAGCACATCATGGCTTACCACAAACAAATAACTGAGGAGTTGGTGGAGCCGAAAGCCTTCTTTCAAAGGCAGCCGCTTTATCGACGCAAGAAGCTTTACATTTTTGACAGGCAGCGAAAGCTAAAATTTTCTCGAGAGTCGGCCTAAGAGAATTGCCGTTTCGTGTACATGGCGCAGGAGGCGCCTTCAAGAAATGAAGTGACGACTTCAATCGCAGACTTCCAGAAACTCGGGGTTTAAACAAAGCATTGTACGAGAAAACATGAACACTTCGATAAAGAAAACATTTCAAAGCAATGGTACGTAATACAGAGGTTATATTCCGACATTTTTTTGGATTGCAAATGAATTTCAAAAACTTTAAATATATAAAGGAATCAAGTATGATCGTATAAAGAATGTCATTGGCACAGATGCAGAAATGGGGCCATTTTTGTTAAATAGCCATGATTAAATCACAAACAATGATATTATATTTCCAAAGTCCTTAATTAACAGTTGAGTGATATAAAATTGAAAATAATTAAACTAAATTTGATTAAATGAAGAACAGTTAACATGATATAGTACTGGTAAATGATTTAATTTACGCATAAGAAATAACTTTAGCAAGTCGAGGTTTTCGAACAATACAAGAAACATGCGAATGAACACCTGAGTCACTGGCATGGCAGTCACTCATTTATTAGTGTCAACATTCATGTGGGATGGTAAATGATTAAATTTTCATCGAAATGACATATTCTTACTTAAAAAAACTTAGAATGCCTGTTTAAGTTAATCGAGGAGTTTTAGAGTTGATCCGTCGTGATTCGTAGGCATTAAAGGCCTCTCTCGCGTTCATGTCAACGAAGGAGTCCCTCGAATTTTAGAGGGAGCAAAATGGCTGACTCAGCAAAAGCCATGGATTGTCTTGCCTTCCAAAGCTTCATGCAAACGACTTTTCTTTCATGTAGCCAATTCCTTATAGCTTTTCTGTTGCCGCGAGCCTTAAAATTCGAACGGTTAGAAACATTATCTCAATTATAAATTTTCAAGTTTATTCGGTAAGTCTAACTTGTCCATAACAACAGTTATAAAAAAATTTATCATATCAAATACTTTGAGATTTTAAGATCTAAAAATGTAAAATAATTATATATAGTAGCCATGGAGAATTAATGGTCGAGTAAGCCAGCAGAAACAATGGCAGGTGAGTGAGGACAGTGAGAGGAAGGAGCCGGCGAGTGAGGGGACGTGAAGTGGGGTGATGTGGTCACGTGCACAGACAGGAAGTGAGGGCACTTAAAAACAGAGGGGCTCAATATGCAGACCACGCACACCAACCATTCACACCACGCACGCTGACCACGCACATCAACCATTCACACCACGCACGCTGACCACGCACACCAACCATTCACACCACGCACGCTGACCACGCACACCAACCATTCACACCGCGCACACATTCTACGCACACGAACCATTCACACCACGCACGTAAACAATTCACGCCACGCACACTTACTAGGCTCACGAACAATTCC